CTGCCCGACCGAAAGACGTCAACCAAATTTGGTGCACTATCTTGCAAGGCTAATGCTTGTACAAACTGAAACCGAACGGTCTATAAGTTCCTTTTATCGGCAGCCTTCAAAACGTTTTGTCATGATATTTATTATTTAGGAAACCAATTACACAAAACTGGTAAATGTGGCATAACAAATGAACAAACATCTGTGGAATGTGTTCATAGGTTGTGTAGGCACAATACTTCCCGGTTTCCCTGACTCTGGTTCCCACTCGAAGCCCATGACTAGAAAGCCAGACCTACAAGACAACAGGATGGGGCTCAGAGTCCACAGCCCGTTGGAGGCCGGTGTCCTGTTCATAGGATCATATGCCCTTCGGACGAGTTCAGACGTCCAAGGTGCCTAATACACCTCCATGCTCAATCGAACCAGTGACCACTGCCACACCCAGGAAGTTGTATGTGGTTCGTAGCTTCTTCTTGGTTGGTTTGGAATCAGGGTTTTTAGCCAACTCCCTGAGGTGAACTACCAATGGTTCACCGACCCGGTTATAGTACCCGGATCTTGGCTACCCTTCCTTTCACTTTGGTGGGAAAGCACCTCCACCAAGAGAAGGCAGTGAGTAGGGCTTCCTCAATAGAGGCTATTTGAGACGTTTGGTCGTACAGGAGCACTTTGCGAGGTTTAATGGAATGGTGACCAGTCACATCCCGAGACACCCACCCTCACTATACTGAAGCTTTCGGGAGGTCCACTGCGGGTATGCTAATCAGTGAGGTCCTCGCTCAATTATTTGCCGAGGGCTACAAAATCATAATCATAGAAACAAAATACACATTTGGATACTGCCAGTGTGAAAATAATAACATACTTTGATTGTGCAAAGTAAAGGCAGTTGTGCATCATTACGCAACTGTGAACTCACACGCGAAGACGAGAAAATACGAATTCCGGTCCGGTATGACAAGCTACTGTTTGGGCACAGGTCGAACTGCATTTGTACGGGGTAGATATGGACAGAAGATCGGAATAAAAACGATTAGATTTTTACCTTCTTATACTGTTTTACTGTTGTTTGAATAGGAGGTTTCACTTTGAGATCAACCGATAGTATCACAAATGTGCACTAAGTGCGATAAAAATGCTACTACAGGTTCAACGGAAAAATATTCTAACAAACGACCAGACTAGCGAAATTGAAATTTTTATTAAATGCCCCGCCGCATAGTTAACGTAGCTGTACATTTTTCTACAGCGTGTTTTTTCTGTTTCATTTCTTGATCGAACAAAATCCTCTGCCGATCCTCTCTGAGACAGGGTTGCTTTAATCAGCTTCAGGCTGTATACATTATATAGCACTAACCTAACGCACAATATTCGAACCTAGTGTGGATATCAGTTAAGACCTCCTGTATGAGATTCAGGTTGGATCTACTGTCATCAGGATATGATCTAACAAATTGTATATCAACAGATTAAATGAAACCCCATACAGAAACAGCGATGCTGCAAGCTTCCTGCTTGTAGCTGCATCTTATTCTTAATAGGAAATGAGTGACCATCAATCGCTCATCTATTGTATCCCATAGAAGCAAATAAATATATAAGCGGTCAATTAAGTATTTATTCTACTTTCAGTATGTAAACGTAAACGTAGCCGATCCGTAGGCTGGTGAGCAAGCAGTGCGTCAACATGCAGACAGACCAAACTGGTGCAAGCATCATCATCGTCAGATAGTGAGGTACAGTGAAACGAACTTCACTGATCGCAGCGAAGGTTTCTAGTTTGTGTTCATTGGAGGTTTATGGACGGGTAATGCCAGGGAGTCCAACCACTAAGCAGGAGAACTATTAGGATTCTCTACCAAAGCCTTTAGTTCTGACAATAACCTAACCACAAGGCACGGTTAAGGTGGATTGGAGGCCCATTAACTTGGATCACTTACTCCTCCAACACGTTTTACCGACAGAGATGCCAACTCAAGTTGAACCCCCAACCTGGAGGACCAAGAGAGAAAACGAGTGGGTGAGCGAACAATTGCTTTCGGATATTCCTAGTTATGCTGTTACATTCTATATAGTAGGGATAATTCTCACATAATGATAACCACTGGCTCACTTTAAGGTCATTTCTCGGAAACAGAGAGCAGAGGATGTGTGTATATAAGAATGTTTAGTGTGTTAGTTGATGTGATCTTCTTATACAATGCTATCATGGGAATAGACAAATTTTGAAATTGGGATTTGTTTGATCTCTACCCGTTGACCTTCCAGGACTGATAAGATCTTTGGCTGGACAAAAACCATCTTGTGTAGCTCATTGAATCACAGAGGTGCACAAGCCATCGCACCACGTCAAGGCGCAGTCTCGTGATGGTGCAAGCATTACCAAAAGGAGAATGTCGTCACGCTGGACAGTCAGCGAATCAATGCTGACCTCTGATTCGCTGAAGCGAATCGACTTTTCATAGAGTAAGTCCACATGACGTGCATGCGTATGTGTGGTGGCAGACCGCAACGGCAAAGCCTGTAGTTTGCGGAAAACGTTTGACTCAACTGAAGGCCACAACATTCATCTTTTTCGAAATCACGCCTTTTCGATTGTGAGCATGCGGAAAATGTTCCGAGAATGAAATAACATAGTCAAGGCGTCCGATAATAAGCAACTGTACATCTAAAGAAGCTCTTCCATCGGGGCGGTTTTCTACTGGGTGGAAACACATTCGGAATATTGTCCATGAAACAGGAATGACACTACCAATATGTTCATGTACAGTGACGGAACCGCGTCACCCAGATTCTGTATTTCCAAAGAGCTTAGAATGAGTATCACTTTAGGATAGACAGTTCTCGTATTTTAACGTGCCCGGATCAGTAAGTATATGGAAGAGGTGAAAGAGTTTTGGAGGCATAGAACCCTAGAACATCACCTTGGTCTCAGTAGAGAAACAGATACTACGTGATCCAAAACAATCTATGATCGAGATTATCCGGTAGAGTCAAGATCAGTGATAACAACGGATAAAAACCGAGCCAGGGCCTTTTTCCGCCATAGATTTTCCATTTGTGGCAGTTGGAATATATCCCAAGTTTCACGATTGTATCCAATGAAGAACGCAATGAGCTGAAGTGCTGGTTGCCTATAACAAAGGATGGGACAGAAAACATTTTCAGCGATTCGAAAAGTCACGTTTGGAAAGTCCTTGTGGGTTGACACTAGCACAACGTCCGGAAGAATTTGAGGTTTCCAGCTTTTGTGTGACTATTTTGATGGATCTGTGCTAGAATGGAATGCAATTTTTTGCTAGCTATAAGCCTAATCTGACAGTCCTTAAAGGTATCCATACCGTATGATCAGACGCTAAAATGCCAAAATGACTATCCTGCTTCCGCTGCTCTTAGAATACAGAATACGACTTTGATTCACATCTGTTACCATAACAAGGCGCAGGTTTTGTTCCGCAACAAGCGAACATTTCATTGATCATTCATTCATTCGCATCCTATTGCAAACATGTGGGACATCCTGAAGGAGAACGAGTTGTGCACACCAGTGCAGCACTGAAGAAAATAATTATCAATGTGTGTGAGGTGAGTGTTTCGAGAAGGCCAAGAAAAAAACGCATGCAAAGCCTTGGTAATCTAAATAAAAATTAAAGAGACATTTGTTGTGAACAAATGATCTTATCTTCATATAATAGGTTATCTTAATGGCGTTTTTCACTCCCGGAACACATTTGATGCGAACAAGTGAAAACTGTGGCGTAGTTGGTATCAAATTATTAATTTTCATGCTAATAAAGTCCTCGGAATAAGTAGTATTCGAAGAGATAAGTAACTGTAGCATTACGTGATCGCATGAAAAACTAGTTTGTACGTTTCATTACCCGCGTCCGGAGCATTTGGAGGGAAAGGATACGGGAGACTGAGATCAGACTATGCTGCTATGCAACAGCTATGAACCGTAAGAGTAATAAAAGTAATAAAGAGGCGTCCAGCTCTAAAAGAACATCACTGCCCAAAAGACAGTTATTATTTTTTTAAATATCAGAATTTTCGTAAGTTATACTTTAATTTTGCAATATCCCTTTAAAAATCCCTGTTTTGTTTACGGTGAGCAACACCTTGTACTCGAGCCTCGAAATTCCCTCAGTGTCTGGGGATTTCAGAGTATTTAGTAAGTAACTCTTACTCTTACTTACTGGTGGGGATAGATTCGTCCAGTTGAGAGCACAAATGGGCGGGTTGATGAGCTACACCAGGCTAGCTCAAAAATGGAGTTGAGAAATCTTGTTTTGAACTTTTAGCGAAGCGTACAGACTTCAGTTTCAGTTTATTCACCAGTTAACCTTTTGGGATATCTTATTTCCTGGTAAACCTCGATTTTAGATGGAGCACTGGCATCAACCGGGAGTATTTGACTAGTCAATGTGGGGGGAGATAGACAGTACGAACTGGATCCTGTTTTCGATTGTCGCTAGCTTTACTGAGTTATGAGGTGCGTCGAGCACCCTAGATATGTGAACCGCGTCTCAGGCACGTAGGATACAACTTATTTGACGTCAGTCTCAGGATTACTGGTTTTCTTACACCGCCCCGCAGCATTTCGGATCAGTCTTTGGTTGGTCATTAATGCAGCGATGAACCTACGAAAATCACCTGCTTCGGTTCGAACGACTCTTGAGTAACGCAATCAGGAACAAATTATGAATCTATATTTTTTGTTACAAAACTTTTCGTATCATGCTTTATTGAACATATGAGAAGAAATCAAAATGGCAGGCATTAAAAACACACAAATAGATCTGACTCTGATCACCTCCCAATTATTTTGTTCTTATCTCTTTAACTTATCACTGGTCCAATTTCCTATTTCTTTGTATCATGATATTTTTACTTACATCGTCTGGAAAAGAATAATAATAATTATTATTATACGACTTGCGGAGAGTTTAAACCTACGACACACAATGGAAAATTTGTCACATACCAGTACTTGTTCCTTCACAACTTACCAATGATTGAGCAACTTGAGTAGAACTTTGAGCTCATTTTTCAAGGAAGTCATATCATACTCCACCATACATTTCTGTGAAAGCTATGGGGAAAACGGAGAGAAAAACGTTCTCAGAAATCGGAATGAGTTAAACTTCATTTGTATGAATTGTAGTGAGTTGGCTTAATGGGCTGTTGCATCAACAATGCTCCCCGGGGAGGGCTGATTTCGCGCTTCATCCGGGTGTGGTGAAATACGATCAAAGTAAGGGTTGACCTCTGGCGTTGTCCAGTAGTACACACACCCTCAGGATACAAAGATGCACGTGAGAATGTCCTGGTCATTCAGGGAAGATGCGCCCTCAGAAAGCCACTTTTGGGAAGACCGTACACGAGGTAGAAGGCCGTGGCAAACACAGTGTTAGTACCCTTAGGCCCAGGCAATGGTCACATAACAGGATAGACCAGCTTGACTTGACTTGACTTGAACTCTCTCAAAGCAAATGAACACATACTAATCGGGGGGGGGGGGNGACTTTACTGGACAGGCTCAAATTCCGCATGGAGTGTGTCAACTGGGTACGTTTGAGCAGTATGTTGTGATTTAAAATAGTCTTTCATTCTTCAGTCCCATAGAACACACTTCTAGCCTGTTGAATAGTGTCCCTATGCTCTACGCTCGTCCGTTCTACGCACGCTAGATTGTATGTTTCAGTCACTTTGAATATGACTGAATATTGACCGGAGAAGAATTGCCACTCGTTCGTTATACATCAGAAGTGGATTTTCTGAATAATTATCAACCTTTTTCCGGTTGGCACAGTTTGTTCTTTAGTCTCGGTTACAAAGAGTCATATTAATACCACGTGACCAGTGCTGAAACGCAATAACAGGGATGCAAATGAGAGTCAACGAGCGTATGAAATAAAT